TGGGGGAGGGGTGGAGAGAGGCAGGCATGCAGGCAGGCGGGCAGGCAGGCATCCTCAACAGGATCCCTGCATTATACTACACTGTTTCCACCAGCTTGGAATACAATAATGTGTGTGCACCCAGTGTACTCAGAGAGGTTCTAGATGTGAACCCAGAGCCCTTCTCATCTGGGTTTAAGCTGTGTTATCACAGTGTCACTGCTTGGCCCCAAAACTTTGATTTTTAAATGAAGAACCTTGAGCTGGCAGGTGGCAGCTGGATCCCACATCGCTGACAGTGCTGCTCAAGTCCTGAACCTGGCAGCTTGAAAATCACACTAGATGTGTATGCATGTGTGCTCAAAATCCTGAGGAGAATGAATTTTGGTGTGGCCATGTCCGCTGGGTGGCCACTTTCTTACTCTGTTTCTGTAAGAGCACATGCCCTACAGTAAAATAAAGAAATAAACAAAAACACACACATAAAAAAAAACCAAAAAAAAAACCAACTCTTTCTCGATGTCAAAGAAAATGAAAGAGAATGAAAAATGGCATTACAAAGTGACTGACTTATTGGGTCATGAATTACATTAAACTACAAGTCAGATCAAATTCACTTTACACAACTATGGCGAGTGCAAGCTCTGTTCTAAAAACAGAAACCCAGGACATTTGGGGGGAAAGGGAAAGCATCAAAGCACAAATCTAGCATGTCTAGCCTTGTGAAGTCTTAAGTTTTATGGATGTTAGGCTTGTGAATCCAAACTGGGATAGAATACTGACCTTCTACAATGACAGCTCCAGGTTCTTCTGCTTGGCCAACAGCTTCTTCATATTCCCCAGAGCTGTCGCTGTCAGAAACAGAACTACTTGATGCCTGCATGTCTTCAGACATAGGATTCCTGGTCTCAGAATCAGAAGAGGGAGTTGGCAAGTGAGGCTGGGTCCTGCTCACCTGAAAGTAAGCATCCAGTGGTGCTCTCAACCTACATATACAGAAAAACACAGAATTACAGCACAGTCGAGCACTGTCACAAGAATAACCCACAGTGACTCGAAGGAAATCTCAGTCATTTCAACCAATCTCAAGGCCACCAAATGCTGCCTCTGAAAGCTGAACAGCAGATTTAGGCAGTCCTGGATATTCTCTTTTTCACTCCATCACTGCTCCATTAGCCTAGACTAGAATGTAATCCTCTGCAAAAAGCTAATGTTCTTTTATTGGTCTTTGGCTAAGTGTTAGTATCTGTAAAAGATATGACTCAGCAATCTGCTGATATTAAGTTGTTGAAAAGGCAGGGCGGAAAAAAGGCCCTGTTGCCCAAATATGACTTTTTAAAAAAATAATTATTTAATTTTATTTATTCATCCATTTATTATAATTTTTGAAAATCTGACTAAAAAGAGAGAGAGAAAAAATGGGAAAGCAAGCCACCAGGTCCAAGACTCAAACTGCGGTCAATCATGTGGGAGTGTCCGGCATCTTAACCATCACACCAATCGCTGGTCCTGCCCAAACATGACTTTTCGGGCTTCTGCTACTGCAGCTACCCAGACCAAAGCCTTATGGGTAATAGTACAAAGTCTGGCTTCAGGCATCACTGCTTTACCTCTTACTTCAGGACACTACTTTTCTCTTAAAATCTATTCAGGCTCGCCAAGCTTTAACAATAACCACAACGAAACCTCCATTTTCCTTATTTCTGGGATAACAAACCATATTCCACCCATATCACGCAATTCATGAAATTCTATGTTAAAGATGAAAAGGGTATTCTGAACCTTTTAGCACACTGCCTAGCTAATAATTACAAAGGCAACAAATTTTAAGTTTTAATAACCTTCTTTATATTATCCAGAATTATTGTTGGAATCTACTCATACAGAAAAATTTTGATCGTAATAGTTTGGCTGTAATTATGACAAATTGGAATTTTCTATTAAAAAAGTGCATGACTGGGCCAGCTGGTGACACAGTGGCTTAAGTGGCTGGATTCTCCTACGGCTGGCGGCTTGGTTTGAGTCTCAGTCTTGGAGGCTTGAAATACATGCCAGGTACATATGCATGCGTGTCCAAAATCTCGAAAGGAAGGAATGGAGAAGGGACTGTGGCAAGATCATTCTGCATGGGTGGTGCTTTCTCCTTCTCACTATCCTCCTCTCTCTCCAGTGAGCACATGCTACCTCCAACAAACTAAAAAAAAGATGAAGGAGTACGTGATTGAATGGGAGAAAATAAGCATTGCTTGGTATCCAATTCAAAAAAAAAATAAACCCTTATAAAACTAGGAGTGAGAGGGGAACCAGCAGTTAGCGTAATGGCTATGTTGCTAGACTCCCATGTAGTCGACTGTGGTTCGCGTCCCGGACCCGGTGGCTTAAAACTCACACCGGGCGTGTGTGCATGCGTGCCCAAGATCCTGCGAGGAGAATGGAGGAGAAGGGATTGTGGCATGGCCATCCCCCCTGGGGGGGGATTTCTCGCTTTCTGTCTCTATGTCTCTCTCTCTGTCTGGCGAGCACATGCGCCCTATAGCGAAAACCTCTCCAAAAAAAAAAAAAAAACAACAACTAGAAGTCAGAGGACCAGCAGTTGCCAGCAGTTGGCGTAATGGCTATGTCGCTGGACTCCCATGTAATCAACCATGGTTTGAGTTCCGGACCCGGTGGCTTGAACTCATGCTGGGCGAGTGTGCGTGCCCAAGATCCCAAGTAGAGAATGGAGAAGGGATGGATTGTGGTGTGTCTACCTCCCCCCAGGGGGTGATTTCTTGCTTTCTGTCTGTGTTTCTCTCTCTGTCTTTCTGGCGAGTGCACACGCCCTATAGCAAAAACCTCTCGAGGAAAAAAAAACAAAAAACACAACTAGAAGTGAGAAATTTCTAAAATGAGACATAACAAAGAGTTTTCTTGTTTGAAATTAAGATAAAACTTATATGCCATAAAATTCACAATTTTAAAGTGCACAACTTAGTCGTTTTTAGCATAACTACAGTTAATGTAAGGATAACTACTACCAGATTCCGAAATGTTTTCATCAAATCCCAGCCCTCCAGCTCCTCAAGGTACTGGGTGCCTGTGTATACCCAGCATTTCAGGCAGACCTGGGGAATCTGAACCTGTGCGGCTTCCAGTTTTGCAGGGCACTGCATTACTGCTGTATGACAGTGGCTGGGCCTTTAATCCTTTTTTATTCATTAAGTCACTGGTTTGGTTTGCTAATATTTTATTACAGAGTTTTGGAATCAGGGTAATATTGGCCTCATAGAATCAGCTGAGAAATGTTCCTTCAAACCACAGGAGTTACTTCTGCATTAAGGAATTTGGTAGGATACCATCACAAGGAAAACCATCTGGTTCTGGGCTTTTTCTGTGGGAAGTATTGTTTCCTTTCTTCCTTTCCTTCCTCCTTTCTCTCTCTTTCTTTCTTTTTAAAGGTTTTTGCCACAGGACGCATGTGCTGACCATAGCAAGACAGAAGTGAGAAATCACCCCTCAAGGGGGGATGGCCATGCCGTAATCCCTTCTCTCCCATTCTCCTCTAGGGGTTTTGGGCAAACACGCACACACACATGCACACCTGGTGTGATTTTCAAGCTGCTGGGTTCAGAGCTTGAATAGCAGTTGTCCATGCCGGAATTGAGTGCCTTAACCACCTGGCCACTTGTTGGCCCTTATTTTTCTTTTTAAATTACTCATTCAATCCCTTGTTATTGGTCTATTCAGATTTTCTTTTCTTTTTAAGAGAGTATTGGTAGTTTACCTCTAGAAATCTATCAATTTCACCTATGTCATCCAATTTAATAGTATAGCTGTTCACAGCGTATGTTTACAGAATTATTTGTTTCTGTAAGGTGGGCAGTGTTCTTTCACTCCTAATCTTTAAAACAAAATATCTATTTAACTTCACTTATCATCATTTTTACTTTTTTTTTTTTTTTTAAGTAAAGTGTCTCTAGTAGATGGCTATCTTTTTTCTTTTTTTTTGGAGAGATTTTCGCTATAGGGCGCTCTCGCCAACCAGACAGAGACATAGAGACAGAAAGCGAAAAATCACCCCCCCCAGGGGGGATGGTCACGCCGCAATCCCTTCTCCTCCATTCTCCTCTCGGGATCTTGGGCACGCACGCACAAACACCCGGCGTGAGTTCTAAGCATCCGGGTCCGGGACGCAAACTGCGGTCGACTATGTAGGAGTCCAGCGACATAGCCATTATGCTAACGGGAGTCTTTTCTATTTTTAGAGCAGTTTTCCCTAGAGGATGCATGCACTCACTACTGAGACAGAAAAGTGAGAAATCACCCACTGGGGGGATAGCCAACAGCAATTCCTTCTCCTCCATTCTCTTCTTGGAATTTTGGGTATGAATGCATGCACACACATCTGGCATGAATTTTAAGGTGCCGAGTCCGGGACTTGAACCACAGTTGACAGCATGGGAGTCCAGCTATGTAACCATTATGCCATCTGCTGGTTCCCATTTTTACTTTTTTAACCAGAGAGAGACAGAAAGAGAGAGAGTACACAAGCGAGAAAGTAAGTTTCTAGGTATGGAACTTGAACTGCAGTCAGCCATGTGGGTGTCTGCCTTCACCATGCCACCTGCCAGTCCCCATTCCTGATTTTATTAATAGTAGTTTTGAGTATTCTCTATTTGTCTCTTGGTTAGTCTAGCTAGAAGTTTATCATATTTTTTCTTTTTATTATTTTTTCATAGGATGCATGTGCTCACTGGAAAAAGAAAGTGAGGGGACCAGCAGTTAGCGTAATGGCTATGTCACTGGACTCCCACGTAGTCGACCGCAGTTTGCATCCCGGACCCGGTGGCTTAAAACTCACCCCGGGCGCGTGTGTGTGCATGCCCAAGATCCCGAGAGGAGAATGGAGAAGGGACTGCAGTGTGACCATCCCCCCTGGGGGGTGATTTCTCACTTTCTGTCTCTCTCTGTCTGGTGAGCACACGCACCCTATGGCAAAAACCTCTCAAAAAATAAAAAATAAAAAAAAAATTTTAAAAAAGGTGAGGAATCACCGCCAGGGGCATAGCTACAACATAATCCTCCTCCATCCTTTCTTTCCCTGAGGATTCTGAGTGTACATATACATGCGTCTGCCATGACTCCCAAGCCACCAATTTGGGACCTGAACCACCACAGTTGGTCAAGTGGGACCCATTTGCCTCAACAACCATGTCACCATCTGCTTTTTTTAGAGAAATTTTTGCTATAGGACACGTGCATTCACTGGAGACACAGAGAGAGGCAGAGAGATAGAAAGTGAAAAATCAACCCCTAAGGAGGATGGCCATGCTGCAATCCCTTTTGCTCCATTCTCCTCTTGGGTGTTTGGGCACGCATGCACACGTGCCCGGCCTGAGTTTCAAGCTGCCAGGTCTGGGACTCGAACAGCGGTTGGCTATGTGGGAGTCCAGTGATCCATTATGCCATCTGCTGATCCGTACCCTCTACTTCTAAAGACCCTCCCCCCTTTCAAAGACAGTTGCTCACTGTCGTGATCCTCCTGCCTCAGCCTTCCAAGTATCTGGGACTACAGGTACATGCCACCATGCATGACTTTTAGTGTGGGCTGGAAATAGAATCCAGGCCTCCACGTGGCCTCAGCTGAGTAGCAGCATCTTCTAGCACATGCATGCACGGGAGGGAGAAAAAAAGAGACAGGCATTTGCAATCTGGCCTCAGCACATCTTGAGCCTCTTGCCACAGTCTCCCACTTAGCTAGAGCCACGGGTGTGCGCCACTATGCCTACCTAGCTTGTTTAGGTTGGGCCAGGAACCTGGGCCTCCAGCCTGCACTGCCATGGCTGAACCAAGATGTTAAATATTTTCTATTGTACCATTTTATTAATAATTTTGTGTTCATATTTTCATGATATTTTACATTATTTTCTTAATGAGTACATTAAGGATTATAATTAACACTTCTATTTTTAATAATCTAGCTTCTCAGTTTTCTCTAATTTTGGTTTCTTGGCCAAGTCTGAGGCAAAAGCTGTTCACCTTGACCCAGGCTCTCAATATCTGGCCCAGGGATAGTCTGGTGCCAGACACCATACTGAGATTCATCTCATAAAATTTAGAAATTTTCGGGACCAGCAGTTGGCGTAATGGCTATGTCACTGAATTCCCATGTGGCCCACTGCGGTTTGAGAACCGGACCTGGTGGCTTAAACTCACATCGGGCGCGTGTGCATGTGTGCCTAAGATCCCAAGAGGAGAATGGAGAGGGATTGCGATGCGGCCATCCCCCCTCAGGGGGTGATTTCTCGCTTTCTATCTCTTGGGCAAGTGCATGCACTCTATAGCAAAAACCTCTCAAAAATAAAAAAAATCAGAAAGTTTCAACAATTACTCTTAGAGAAGCTCACACGTCTGTGTGAATTTAGTGTGCAATTTGCTTATAACAAAACATGAGGAAAAAAGTATTTTTAAAGATTTTTTGTCATAGGGTACATGTACTCACTGGAGAGAGATCAAGACAGTGAGTAGGATAGTAAGAAATCACTTCCCAGAGGGAATGGTTATGCTGCAATCCCTTCTCCTCCATTCTCCTCCCGGGATCTCTGGCATCCACACAAATATGCCCAGCATGATTTTCAAGCCACCTGGTGTGATTTTCAGGTTGATGAACCTGTGACTTGAGCCATGGTCGGCCATGTGGGAGCCCAACGACATAACCACTATGCCATCTCCTGGCCCCAAATTAACTCAATTTCACTTTTTACAAGGCTTCTTTAAATCTAGTCTATCTAACTGTGCCTCTAAGTGACACAAACAATGAATCCTGGGTAATTAGACAGGGCCTGCATATTAAAAAAATACACGGGGACCAACAGATAGCATAATGGTTATGTCACTGGACTCCCACGTAGTTGACCATGGTTTGAGCCCCAGACCTGGCAGCTTAAAATACGCCAGGCAGGTGTGCATGCATGCCCCAAATCCCAAAGAATGGGAGGAAAAGGAACTGTTTCAGGTGTGTCTCCCCCAGGGAGTAATTTCTCACTTTTTATCTCTCTCTCTCTCTCTCTCTCTCCAGCAACTGCATGTGCCCTAGAGCAAAAACCGCTCTAAAAAATACACGGGGATCAGCAGATGACATAATGGTTACATTGCTGGACTCCTACACAGTAAACTGTGATTTGAGTCCTGCACCTCGCGGCTTGAAACTCGTGTGCATGCGTTCCCAAGGTCCTGAGAGATCAGAGAACAGAGAAGGGATTGCGGTCTGGCCATTACCCCTTAGGGGGTGATTTCTCACTTTTTGTCTCTGGCAAGTGGACATACCTTATAGCGAAAATTTCTCTTAAACAAACAAACAAAACAAAACATGACATGAGGGCCAGCAGGTGGTGTGGTGGTTAAGGCATTGAACTTCTACGTGGCTGATCATGGCGACTTGAAAATCACACCAGGTGTGTGTGTGTGCCTACCCAAAATCCCAGGAAGAAAATAAGAGAAGGAATTATGGTGAGCCCATTTCCCCTGCGGGGTGATTTCTTACTTTCTCTTTCATTGTCTCTGTCTCTCTCCACTCAGTGCACGCATCCTAAGGCAAAAACCTAAAAAGAAGCAAAAACAAACAAAAAAAACACACATGACATAAATAATCTAGAAGACAACCTCTCCAGAAACTATCACCTAGTAGTCCAGTCACATCCGTGTAACTTATCCCAAGTACTACGAAAATGAACAAGGCAAGCACTTTTATTTCTACCTGATTTAAGTGGAAATGGGAGTTCTGAAAAGTTATCTGACTTGCCAAAGGATACACTTCCAGCCCTTGGCAGTACTAGATGGATGACCAGTCTAAATTTCACAATTCCTAGTACAATATTGTTACATGACGCATCCATATATTTACCTGGTACTGTCTGTTCTCTGAGACCCTCCAGCTCTTGCCCTGCGTGAAGTGGTCCCCCGTCTTCTCCTAGCTCTCACTGGCCCCACACTGCGGTCTGAGGAAGTCTGAGGTCTCAGGAATTCCAGCATGCCATGAAGTCTCTGCAGCCCACTGATAAAGGTGTTCATTGAATCCCATGAAGATACCGGGACAGTGTGGTTAACATCAGATCCCTGCCTACGCTCCTCTGAAACTTCTGGATTGATGTTCTCTACATTCTCTTCTGAGAGCTCTACTTCCTCTGTCAGGTCAATGGATACTTGCGGGGCAGGCTGGAGCAGAGGTGGTCGTCCCTGGATGTTAACCACTTCAGCACTTGAACAAGGGTGGTCTCCTCTGACTGCTGACCACCTCAGTAGGAACAGGCTGGAGCAGGGGTGGTCTCCCCTGACTGCTAACCACTTCACCAGGAACGGGCTGGAAAAGGGGTGGTCCCCCCC